ATATTTGCAATTTAAAATATCCTAGCCATGTATCAAAATTTAAAAACTAGACTAAAAGTAGTTAAAAACAAACATTTTTAAATACTTTTTGATACAACAATGTTTTAAATCTTATTACGGTAATCTCTACTAAATACTTGAAATAAAAACATTATTTCTAAATATAATAATATAAACTACACCTATATTTCACGTTTTAACTAAATGGTTATACAAATTTGTAAAAGCATTACAAGAATTCTTGGTACACAAATTTGTGATTAAGTCGCAGATAAACCCATTATTACAAAAAAAATTATAATTATTAAAAAAAACCATATCTTTAAAAATTTTCAAAAAAGAAAAATCATTTTACTTTATAATACATTTGATAAAAATGTTTTTTAAAATATGTAAGAATACAAAAAAATAAATTACAATTGATCAAAATGAGTAATACCGCCTCATATTTTCATTATTGTATACTTGATCAAACCTTCGAGTCAAATTTATAGTCTATTTAAGTAATTTAAAATAATTATATATTTACGTAAAAAATTAAAAAGTAAGTAAATATATTAACTTAATTATCTATACTTGATTTTATTAATACTATACTTGTAATAATATTCAAATAAACAAAAAAAAAAACAATTTAACAGAAAAAAATAAAGTAGAAACTTGTCTGGAAATTGTATAAGTTTAAAAGTGACTATGATTCATAACGTCAAGTTTGCAAATCCCGATCGGAAATCTTAATTAAAATAAAGTCGATAACCGGAGATAACAACAGAAAAGGCTGTTTTCAAACTCTGCTAACGCATCTACGCAAAATATTTTACATAAATTAAAAGACCACGCGGTGCTCGAATTTTTGATTTTATAAAATTTTTTATAAAATTTTAGTTTATTTTTTTTGCTTACAGTAATGCAAACAAATAAAATAATAATAATAAATAAATAAAAAAGAAATAAGCTATAGTAAAAATTATTATTTAGTAAAATATTTTTAAAGTAATAAATAAATAATTGCGTTATATTTTACGTAAAAAAAAATAATAATAACATTAACAATAATTATCATTATTGTTATTATTGTTATTATTGTTATTAAGTACCAAAATGCAGACCAGGATAAGTTTTAGATTAAAATACTTTGGTATCATTAAAACGTAATCTTACCTATAACCATACCAAATTCTACTCAAGCCAATTTAAGTTAAAAAAAAGTTATGAGCTTTGTGCAGACCTCACTTTGTACACATAAGAAAAACCGTTAAAAATTACAACGTTTTATATAACGATTGCGGTTGCTGATGAGATATCATCTTATGAATGCTTTCTATTTAAGGTGGTAAAAGCATGAAACTTGGTGGAAATAAAGTTACAAACTAAATGAGCACCTCAAGGGTTTTTTTATTTTTTTATTTTATTTTTATTTTGTCAAGCAACCATTTACAACTAATGATTATTTCCGATAAAATATTTAGAACTATTAAATACAAATACATTTCATTATTTATAGTAGTTACGAGACCGGAGAACCTGAAGAAGATAAAATCTTATCATCAGTAACCTTTGATAACAAAAAAGGAAATAAAAATGTATTGTTAGAAAAAATCATGTAAAGAATCTTGATTGGCAATAAGTTTGATAATGTTCTTTTTAAATCTTTGATAGATAGTGGCTTCTTTAAGTTTACAACTCACCCAGTGGACACGGACGTAAAAAAGACGTCTTTTAATCGTCTTATGCATGTTTCTGACGTCTTTTGAACGTCTTTTGAACGTTTTGGACGTCTTTTGAACGTTCAAAAGACGTCTTTTTTTGGTCCGGTGCCCACTGGGCAGGCTTGTAAAATGGTTCCATAGCATTGGGTCACGATAGGAAATGGCAAAGCTCGTCTTCTGGTAGATCGAGTATTGTATCGGTTTAATGTTTTAGAGAAAATATTTTCGAAAACCTTTGACTTTTTTTTTTTTTTATTGATGTTGGAATATAAATTGTGTAATTTTGAAAATATTTAGTTTATAAATATCAAGTGCCCTCGTGCTTTTTAGAGGAGTTTTAGCATTTTTGAAGCGATTTTAAAAATGAATAATGCGTGTTGCATGATTCTGTTGTTTAAGAAGACATTCTAGTTTAGATTTATTTGTACTAGCCCAAACAATATTACCATAAGATAAATAACTATTTATGAATGCAAAATATAGCTGAGTTAATGTAGATTTGTCTGGTTTTATATAAAACGCCAATATTTCTTGAGATTTTATTGCTAATATGTTTAATACGATCTCTCAGGATAAGTTTTCATCTTTTAAAATACCAAGTAATTTATTTGTGAATGAGCGCTCAGTTTTTAATATTATTTATATATCGCATTTGTAAGGATTTTGGAAAATATTGAAATTTTTGTTTAGAATAGAATAAGGAAAGTTCACTCTACGGGCATTTGTTTTTAAAAGTTACGTTCTTTGCTACTTGAAATAGAGAGGTAATGTTGAATGTGAGAATAGAATAAAGTGGTGTCGTCTGCAAACATAATAGTAGACATAATATTTGATGCTTTATATAGATCGTTGACATAGATTAAGAACAGCAGCAGAACTAAGATGTAGTCTTGTGGAACCCTATATGATATTTTAAGTTTGTTTGACTGAAAACCATCATTTAGAGAAATAAACTGCTTTCAATCAGTTAAGTAACTGGTAAACCATTTATGGTATTCGTGGCTTGTTCCATACTATTTTAGTTTTTCTAATAAAATCTGATGGTTAACGGTGTAAAATGTTTTTGACAAGTCTAGGAATATATCTAAAGTGAATTTGTTCTGAGAAGATGCTCCACTGATAACTTCTACAAGATGCATAAGTGCATGTTCCGTAGAGTGATTTGATCGAAAACCATATTGAATACAAATATCCTATTATACATGATACGTTCGACGATTTTTTAAAAAACAGGTAACACCGATATAGGTGGATAATTTGTAACCAGACTTTCATCTCCTGATTTAAAAATGTGTGTAATAATAAGAACTTTCAGTTTATCTAGAAAAACACCTGCTTGAAGCGACTTGTTAAAAATATCTCATAAACATCTTTAATAAGTTCATAGCAGTCTTTGATTATGCTTGCTGAAATAGAATCATAGCCTGTTGTTTTATTTATATTTAGTTTTTTTATTGAGTCATCAAATTCTTTACTACTTAGTTTTTTAAATGCTAGGCTTTTATCAGATTTTAAATGCCTAAGCTTTTATCAGACTTCGATAAGTAGTTCAAGAAATATAGAGGAGTGTGTTTAATTTTACTGGCTAAGTTTGGACCAATATTTACGAAAAGCTTATTAAATTTTGTTGCCACCGATTTTACATCAGAGATCTGTGTGCCATCTACGGTAATCACGCTTGGTAAGACATTGTTGTGTATTTTTTTGTTTTCCAAGTATCTCTTTAATAGTATCCCACGTTTTTTTCCAGTTACCTTTTAGTTTTAACAACTTGTTTTTGAAGTATGTAGTTATGACTATTTTTTTAGTTCTTTCATATAGATGTTTGTGCTCTAAGTAATTATGCTTGTCACGATCTTTCTTTGATTTAATAAAGCGTATATATGGCTTTTGTTTTCGCTTCGAAGACTTTAAAAGGTTTTTAGTGAGGCAAGGATTAGGAGAGTCTTTTAGTTTTAATACGGCTTGTCTATACAGCTATGGTTGTCTGTTTAATTTACTGCGAGGTTGCCATTTTAGATTTCCTTCTTAAAAAAAAGATTTTGCTGAATATCTCAACAATCAGTTTTAACTCATCATTTATCTACGGGAATTAAAACCCAGTGAAAAAAAACCGTTCCGCATGGTTTCTATGTAGATTTTGTATGGGACTTACGTGGGATGGATTTTAGTAATAATTATAGGTGTGTATAGGTGTGGAGGCCTATTTTTAGCTAATTCCGATTATACCAATGCATCGGTATCGGCCCCGAATTCGAATTTGTTCTCTTTTCTTTTTTATTAACAGGTAAACAAGGATTTCAAATATAATGTTAACGGTCAATTTTAATGCTAGCTTATTTGCTAAAGTTTGATTAATTTTAATGCTTGTTTATTCCTTAAAGTTTGCTCAATGCCTAGTTGCTTTGCTCATTGTTGATTTATTTATTTTTATTTCTAAGTTTCATTCCTAGAAGTTTGAAATAAAAATTGATAAAAATGAAAAATACATATATATATATATATATATATGTATATATATATATATATATATATATATATATATATATATATATATATATATATATATATATATATATATATATATATATATATATATATATATATATATATATATATATATATATATATAATAACAATAATAATAATAATTAGAGATTGAAGTGCCATTATTTACAATAATCACAATAGTGATTAAGTAATTCAGAAGCACTAAACAAGTAAACTATGAGTCTGAAAAAGAGTTCATAAAAAGTTCATACTTTAGTCTTTTTTTGAAAGTTTCTATAGAAGTTAAGTTTCGTTTGTTCAAAGATAAACCATTCCAAATTCAAGATGCAATCATACAAAAAGATTTTGAGCCCAGGAAGGTTTTTTATTGACGATGTGTAAGTTGGCAACTGCCTAATGATCTTGTATTTTGTTATGAAGCTCGGACTTCTAGGAGTTCAAATAAATATGCAGGAGATTTTGATAATAACATTTTATATGTGATAACTGATATTTTATAGATTATTCTTTGATGTATTGGTAACCAATGAAGAGATTTCAGCAATATTTCTGATTTTAAATGGAAAGGAGAATGGAAACAATGTGAGATAAGTTATTTTGAATTCGTTGGAGTTTTTTAAGATTTTGTTAATAAGTGCTAAATAAAAGGCTGTTACAATAGTCAAGCTGAGAGTTAACGATGCCACAAACAATTATGTTTGCGGCTTCTTTGGTCAGACATGGACGAATGTGGCGAAGTGCATGAATGTGGTAATTGCAGGATTTAATAGTTAATATTATTTATGTGCTAGTATTGTTTATGTGCTTGTCCATAGAGAGCTTTGAATCTAGAGTGACTCCAAGGATTTTTACTGAATTTATTATAGTTATTGTGGTTCCAGAAAATGCAATATTCGAATCATTTTTATATTTGCTAGTTTGTTTTGTAGATCCAAATAAAATAGCTTCTATTTTATTTGGATTAAGCAGAAGTCCATTTTCTAGAAACCATGTTGTTACTGCATTAGCACACTCAGTGATTTTGTTGATGTTATCTTTATGATGAAACCGTAATAAATAAGTCTATATTAAATATTAATGGAATTTATCAAATATCAAATCAAACACAATTCAAGATCTACAAAACAGATTTTATAACACATCAATTAAATATAATTAGAATAATTTAAGTTCATTTAACCAAATTTTATAATGACGTGATTGACGCCAAATATTTAATTCAAATACATAGTTCTTAAGTATATACCTAATACACTACCCTGTCGTACTCCTGTTGAACTTGCTATTAGTCTAGAATTTGATGATCCAATAGAAACAAAAGATTTTTGAGAGTGCAAGTATGATGTTAGCCATTTTAATGCAATATCTGTGACACCAAATTCATTCTTAATACGGGTAATCAGCAGGCTGTGATCGATTGTATCAAATGGTGAAGATATGTCCAGAGATAGGGAAATAGTGGTCAAACCATCATCAATGTTTAGCAGAATATCATTACATATCTTTAAGAGTGCTGTTTCGCTTGAGTGATAAGATTTAAAACCAGAATGTAGAGGATTGAAGTTGACAGATGATGTTAAGTATGGACGAAGACTAGATAAAGCAAGCTTTTCAAGAATTTTTCATAGATTTTTTAGGTCAAATTCTGCCAGTCCTGATTTTTTGGGAATTGGTGATATTTGAGCAACTTTATATAAAGTTGGGAAAATTCCGAATTTGAATGAAAGGTCAGCAAGGTGAGCTATAATTGGACAAAATATTTCTGAACGAGATTTAAGGATGTTTGTTGGAATAATATCAAGTGGCGATGTCTTAGGTTTGAGAGTTTTGATTATTTTTGACACATCTGTAGGTGTGACTGTACCAAATGTTGTTAATATATCTACAGGGGGAGATAACTCTGAGATAAATTTAGATATTGGGGCTTTTGCAAGCCTTTCCTGGATAGTGTTCTTTATAACTTTGAGTTTGCGTATGAAATATTGACTTGTTATATCACATTTTGCTTCTGGGATTGTGTTATTAGTTTTAGAACTATTTGAATGTAGAAATTTCTTAGCAATCTTCCATGTTTCTTTTTGATCATCGTATGCTGAATTTAGTTTCGCCTGATAATGACTACATCTGGATTTGAGAATTGCTGCTGCTGCCTCACGGCATGCAGTTCGATATAATTTTTTATCTGATAAACTACCAGCTTTTCTATAATAATGCTCCAGTTTATGACGTCTGATTTTTTTATTCTTGGCATCTGAAGATAACCATTTGTCATCATGTTTACAAAGTCGCATTGAATATTTTTGAATAGGTGCTAAATGATTAAGAACAGTTGCTATACTTGATCTTATTTGTTCAGCATAATAGTCCGCGTTGTTTTCAGGTGATAAGCAACATGGCATGACTTGCAATTCTTTTATAAAGCATGACAAGTTTAGTTTTCTAAAGTTTCGTTTTGAAAACCAAACAGTTTTAGTATTTGAAGGTTGATGATAAAGGTCTACCCGAATCATATTATGATCTGAAATACCCTCATCAGTTACTTGGATACTCTTGAGTTAAATATCATCATGTCAGTTTATTACTAGTTCAAGTATATTGGCTATACCAGTAGTAGATGATATGCGAGTTGGAGATTGAACTCATTGTATCATGTTGTAGGTCTCTAAAATCTCATCAAGTCTTGAGTTGCAGGTTATTGGAGTAGTACCTGGGCAGTTAAAGTCACCACACAGAAATAATTTCTCCAGATAATGTTTGTAGTTCCTCTAGGAGTTCAGATAATTCGAAAAAGAAAATGTTTGTTGGAATGGTTGGATTTGACAGATAAATAACAATAATATTGAAGATAGTATTTGCCAGATTCAGTTTAACCGATGTACGTTCATAAGAAAGACAGGTAGACAATAATAAGAATGGTTTGATATTTAAGTTGTCTCTATATATTATTGAAACACCTCTTTTACCATGATCTATCAGCAGTATTAAATTGTTTTAAAGCCTGGTGGGGCCATATCTTATTTAATTGCAGTAGAGTCATTTGACTTTATCCAAGTTTCAGTGAGTATAAAAATATTTAGAGAATGATTTTGCGCTATATCATGAATGATAGCAGATTTGCTTATAACAGATTGAACATTTTGGATACCCAAGTTTAATGCAGAGGCTTTTTTAATTTTTATATGTAAATTATGCCGATTTAATTTCGATCCATTTGAGTTTACCTGATCGTATACCCCAATAATATTTTTTTTCCATTGTGCACATTAAATTGTTGCCTCCAATTTGTTCCCTCAACTTCTTGTGCAAGTGCTGCTTTTCAAGTATTTCTTTCTTTTCTGAGTTCACTTTCGAACAATCTCTTGTTTGCTATTTTGTCTTTGCTTATAAAAATATTTTTGAATTTAATAGCGTCCTTTAACTGTTTGGAATTTTTAATTATAAAATTTTGAGTTTCTTTGTTTTCCAAATCAACTAAGATGAGATCAGGTGGTCCTTCTGGTCTTTTAGCATTTTTAGTTAGTCAAATTATTCTTTTTGCATTTGTTATTAAAAAATCTGGTTTAATTGCTTTTAGTATTGTTTCAATGGTTTGTTTATCATTTTCTTTGTTAATTTGTTTGTCTAAAGTAGTATGATCAGCAACTCCACTTATAACGATGTTGTTTTCAGTTCTTTTTTTGTTATTAAACTCATTTGTAATTTTTGCCATCATTACCACTTCAGTTTCTTTTGGTTTTAATTGATTTTTCTGAATTAACGTTGCTTGTGCATATGTGAATATGGTTGTTGGTTTATTTATTGTTGCTGGTAAGACATCTTTTCATCTTCAAGAATTTAAAGCCGTTTTAAAAGGTCTGAAACAATATATGATATTTAGCCACACCATTTATGCATGTTTTTGGTAACTTCAGCAGATGCACTTGGAATTGTCGGCTAATTAGGTTCTTCTAAGCATTCATAGTCGAATTCCATGCTTTTTTTTTAATATATGAGAGGGGTACCACACTAAATAACAGTAGATTACCTCTTGATATCTTTTGAGGGAGGGCTACCACCCTGAATAACAGTGGATTACCTCTTAAGTATATATATTAACTTTATTACACAGGGACTAAAAAGTTTCAGTGTGTGTTTTTTTCCATATATATATATATATATATATATATATATATATATATATATATATATATATATATATATATATATATATATATATATATATACAGTGGCGTAGGAAGGTTTTTTAATTTTTGAAATAACCAACTTTATAACAAAAAAAAATTTTACGTTCATATGCATGATGAAAAAATTCTTCACAAAAAAAAAATTACTCTGAGAGGAGAATGTGAACAAGAAACCCTAAAATATTAGCCCCCTGCCCCAAATGTGAGAGCAACTAGTTGATGTAATATTTTTTTTCTATGTTCAGCTAGACTTATATTTATCGATAAATTTAAATTTCATAGTTAAATATTTTAGCATTCAAAAATTATGATTATGTAAATTTTTTATTATTATATATACTATATATATCATAAAGTTTATGTTATATATATATATATATATATATATATATATATATATATATATATATATATATATATATATATATATATATATATATATATATATATTGATATCATTTTTTTCAGAATAGAACGTAGAACATTTATTTATGTGATGACGACAGTTTTCTCATGAATTGAAAAGGTCATTCTTATTTATATGATTCAATTTTGTGTAAATGCCAGTAAATTTTGATAATTTATCTGTCATCGCATTAAAATAAGTTTTGCAGCTATTTATTTGTTATGTACATCAGTTTTTTAATTTTTTTGTCAAGTTTAAATGGGGTGGGTTTTTTGTTTTCTTCAAGGTGATTTGTAGAATTTTCCCTGATTTATTTATATAAGTCAGGATACTAAAAACTTTCTGCGAATCTTAAATATCTGTTATTTTTATTAAACATTATTATTGAGCAAGCACATTCTTTTTATTTTTATGTTAATCTTGATATAGTATGATTTTTGCTTTGTTATTTAGTATGGTTAACATATCTAGAAGTAATTTATTTCTAATTTTATATTTAGACATTAATTTAGAGTTAGTTAATAAAACTATTTATTTACTGATAAGTAAATAAATAGTTTTAAATAGCTGTTAAATAAATCATCTGTGTATTTATCATTAAGTTTTATTTACTTGTAACTTACCTGTAAGTTTCATATATAACATTTTATATATTATTTAAAACGTAATTGTATTGCTTTGCTAATTAAATAACTTTTTAGTTCATTAAATTTATTGATTTTAATTGAGGTATGATATTAAAATTGATTTAATATTTATATATTTTCTTGACTTGATTTTATGAAAAAATCGTTTAGATGAAATGCTTAATGAAGAAATTTTTGATTGGTGTTTAACGTCAAAGTAATTGCTCTTAATCTACCTCTTACAATAAATCTTCAGCTCTGCTGCTATGAAAACAATTAGAAACAAATATAGTTTGATTATGTGATAATATCAGAAAGTTAAAGAAATAATGCAAAAATAAAAAATTGCATTTGTTATTAGGTGAAGCCTTAATTCTATCTCTGGCAAATATTCATTATAATAAATTAACTACCTCAATGAAAACAATATCAGTAATCTTTTAAGTTTTGAAGAAGTTACAACATAATATACTATAACCAATATTTTGAAAAGAAGAGAACCAAGAAATTTATAAGTTAGTTTATATGTTAGATGATGAGGAAGTAATAACTTTTGAAGATGGAAGATAATGTGATAACATTCGGGAAAGCATTTTGAAGATGGAAGATGTGATAACATTCGGGAAAGCATTTTGAAGATGGAAGATAATGAGATAACATTCGGGAAAGCATTTTTAAAGCATGACTAGTGTCAACAATATCATTAAAGTGTAATTTCTAAAGTACTAAATTTGCTGTAAAATGCAGGTTAATACAGGAAGCTGCAAATTGAGGTCAGTTTTAAGCTGGTGAAGCAATACTCAAAAAGAAAACTAACAGATAAAAAAATCTCATGTTGGCAATCGTTTGCATGGTAATGATACTTTGAAATACCATAAGTATCAAAACTTTTAAATTGCAACAAAAAGTAGGAAAATATAATCTTTTGGTTTGTCAAAAGTGGTTGGTGGTGATGCAGCTACTATCTTGCAGAACTTTACTAATGTAATATATAATATTTGTAACATTGTAAGCAACTCTGCCATGGAAAATGAACTAAATTTTGCTTAGTTAATTACATCAATTAAATCGACAATGGCTGACCTTGGTTGAGTTAATGTTCTATTAAACTCACTATTAAAAGCATTAAGTGAAAAACTTCTGCCAATTGCAATCAAAAATTGGGATAAATCGTTTGAGATAAATCGTTTTAATGTTTTGTATTACTACTCTATGTTATCACAAGGATGCTATAATAATGTAATGTGTGGCCAAACCAAACAACTCATTAAAGGCTATAAAGGTATTGACTATAAAGATATCACAAATCTTGTAGTTGTTGCTGAAGTTTGCGCATTAGGAATCATTGAAAAACTACTTACAGGTTCTTTGTGTTGAATTATTTCAAACAACTATTTGTAAAGATGCTTCTTTATTGCTTGCATGTGGAAAAATTTTTGATTATACTCATCTTCTTCATCAAAATAAGGTTTACTGCAAATTGTTTGAAAACAAACATAATGATGAGTTTGATTCTTTGACTGTGTACTCCCTTGAAGTTATTTTTCATGCTATTCTTGCTATTTTGGAATGTCAGTTATCTGGTGGTAAATATTGGAATCCATCTGATTCAGTTGCTGAAACAGCCTCTAATGACCCTGTTACTAATAAAGCATCAGAAAGTGACTTTTCCATTTTGGATTTAATGATTTGTAAAAAACCAAATGCAAATTTCAAACTATCCAGACTTAACATACCACATATCATGTTAAGTATGATTACGAACATGATGAACTATGGTCATTTCCATTATTAGTTAATTTTGAAAAAGGCAAGTTTATTCTTTGTAGCTAGGATTATGAGGTAATTTTATTCAATATAAACTATTACTTATTTTGAGTTATGTTTAAATTTAACTTTTTTTTGTTTATTGGTAAAATCAATAAATATTTGTTCCATTTATCTTTTTACTACATTTGAGTACAGTGGTATTAATCTTTTTAAATGGTATGAATCATATTTGTGTTTATTTGTAACAAATTTGTTTTAATTAAAGATATTTTTTTTTATTATATATCAATATTTCTGTGTTATGTTTAATCGTTAATTATAAATATTAAAATAAAATAAAAAATTAAAATATCACTAAAAATTATAAGCAAAATACATTTACTTATACATGGACTGCCTATCAAGTAAAGTTAAGAATACAGAAATGGAGGGCTAACCTTAGGCAAAATGGTAGAATACTGATGGAGTGCAAAGTCCTATGGCTTACCTTCTTGTTGGTGCACTTCGTTAAGTAAGTTAGACAATTTTGTCTAATTTATGAACTGAATAGCCAAGGCAAATATTTTATATTACATATATATATATATATATATATATATATATATATATATATATATATATATATATATATATATATATATATATATATATATATATATATATATATATATACAAATATTTTATATTACATATATATATATATATATATATTACATATATATAGGTACCTTCATAAAAAATTTAAACTTTTATTTTTTAAACCAAATTAATTCTATTATATAGAGATTATTAAATGACAAATTTTTATACCAAATTTATTATCTGGGGTCAACTATAAAAAAAGATATTCAATTTTGAAGGTAGAGAAAATAAAGTGGACATCTTAACAAAGATACACAAGAAAATGACTTCAAAAAGTGGACTTTATAACGTAGTTCATAAAATATTAACAATTTACTGTCACATATATGATAAAAACTGTTTATTATATCCCACTTATATAAATTAAATTAAAAAAAAAAAAAAAGAGAGGGGGGGGTGTTTAAGCCCATTTTAAAAGGGGGTCAAATTCGATTCTAGTCATTTTATTAAAAAAAATTACCATAACTAATCTAAGTTTAAGTTTGTTCATGCTTAAATCTAATGAGAATGTGAAAAAAAATTGTATAAAAAATTAAAGTGATTGGAGCCTGGGAACAAAAATACCCCAAAAAGTTTGTGCCCCACATAAAAATGTGAGGGGACCAAGTTATTAAAATACATTTACTTATTATTTTATAATACATTAAAATCTATCAACAGACCCAATAATTCTTGATATGTTTAAAGTTATTTTTTTAAGTTATTTCACATGGTCATAACCTTTGAGCATTAAAAAATGTGAATTTAAATTTAGTTTTGAATAATAAACTTAAAAACTTATTTACTCATTAAATTAACATTTGAGACAGAGGGGTTCTATCTTTTTTAGATAGTTTTGTTCCTAAATTTTATTTACCACAATTTTTTAGCAAATCATTCTTATTTGACACATGATTGAACATACTTATACTTAGAGTTTTCACAATGCCAAGTACAGTATCTGAAATGTAAAATAACCCTGTGCCTGCTCTTGGTTAATACAAAAATATTTAAAAACTAAAAGGAATAAATAAAAATGTATACAAAATAATCAACTGAAACAAAATAAAAGATAATAATGCCTAATATATTATAGTAATTTTTAAATGAACTCCAAGTCTTTAAGTATTAGATCTGCTATAACTCCTTCCTGGCTTATGTCAATATCTTCAGCTTCATCTTCATTGACTTTCCAATATCCTATTGTGTATGTAAAAGATTTTTTTTTGTTGCTACCTTTTGATCAACAATTCTACCAAAAAATAAATGTATATTACCATCATCTAGCTCCCATTTATGGCTTAAGAGCTGCCCTATCAAGTTTCCATTTTTCAAAATTACTCTTAAAATTCGTTTTTGTTTTTCATCAATATTAACAAAAAGAGGATTTGTGGTTTTGGCATTTTCAGCTATTGCTCTTTTAATATCCTTCTCTAGTCGCTTTCTTTCCAGACGCTCTTTTTTTGAATTAGCTTTGGCGCATCTTTTTCCTATTTCTTCATACAAAAGATTATTAAAATTTTTAGAGGCTTGACACGTTAAAGCTCCTCTGCGAATTACAAATTGAATAAGATCTTCTTGTTCTGGCAATGTTTTCTCATCAAGCCATGTTAATGTTTTGTTTACCCTGGCTTTTATTTTAGAATCCAGAAAACCAAAAGTAGCATTAGGAGCACGACGCAAAAAAAAATCAAGCATGCCCAAGATCCTTTCAGCCTCCATTGTATGAGGTGGAGCAGATAGTGTGGTTTTCATCATTTCTTTAGATGGATTTGAGAGATTGCCAGTCAAATACCTGGCCATCTGTCTTTTGAGAACTGTCTCTGTGTAGTTTATTAAAGCTGATAAAATCTTTACCAAAATATTTTTATTTTTTATTACACGAAGGGATTGGTGTATCTTATCTTTTTTGATATTTAATACTTGACTAAAAATATCCACATCTGTATAAAGAATTGATTCTGGATTACTTTTGAAGTAAGCTAATTTCCTTATTGCTTTCTGGAAAATGTCACCCTATTAAAAAAATAATTTTTGTACATTTTTTAAACTACTTTATTTGTTTATTAGAAAACCTTAAAAACTTACAAACTCAAGATTACTCTTTCCTGTTGCATTTTTATAAACCAGACTCATCCATGGCCCAGTTATTATTTTTCCTATCAGGCCCAACCCTTGCAGTTGCACAAGCGTTATATCATTACTCATATCTTGAAGTAAGAGTTGGCAAATTTTATTTTTGGTGTTGCTAGAATAACGAGAAAATGTTAATACATAGAATTCTATTAAAACAAATATTCATCTAAAAAAAACTTACTTTTCAAGAAAGGTTTTTATAAGTCTTTCGTATGTAACAACAATCCCTGCCATATGGAACAAAACATGAAATCTACTACCAACATATCTAAGGAATAGCCCTGGAGCAACATTGTTTTTTTTAAGATAGCTTTTGAATGCTGCAGGATCGGCTTTAAAACTATACCTGATTTTTAAAGAGCAAAAAAATTAAAATTTCAAATTTTCAAAATGTGGAAATAATAAAGAAATAATTGCTCACAAGAAAATAAAACTAAAAAAAAATTTAAATAATGAAAGATATACATATAAAAGATTACCTTAGCTTAGAAATATTTTTGAGGACTGTTACTGCAACCCCATCAGTTCCTTTAGCTGGTTTTATATTCAACTCATTATCTATTGTTTTAAGAGCTAATAATGCTTTTAAGGCAATAGTTTCCAATGGATGAACATTGCAGTATAGTTGCATTAATTGAATGTCCATCTCTTCCTGAAGCATGTTTTTCACACAACTATTAACAGGCGCTCTGTCGGACAGACAACTTTTGGTTTTTTGAGTGAAAACATCTAAAACTTCTACTGCTGGCATATTTTTAAACTCTGCAAATGTATTGGCAAGTTCTTTTATTACACTGACAATATGAGTGGCACAGTCAAATCCTGTGCCTCCAGCAAGTTTAGCGGTTGATAAGGAATAACATCTCTGCGGAGGATAGGTACTGATAAGAAACTCATTTACATGTTTGTCTAAAACGGTGGTTGCATCAAACACTACTGTTGCACATTCACAATGAAAAAGTGCCTCACCAGCCTGAACCAATGCTAAAACACCTGGCTCATATGCCATTCGATTTACTGTGGATGAGTGAGGTGTTTCTTGCAGTTCTGTGTTGTGTAACAGTTCAGAAATTTTTTCTAACAAAAATGAGACGCTTTCCACAGGCACATTGTTAATAATAGCAGCATAAACACATTTTCTTATGGGTATATGTTTTTAATTTTTTGGTTTCTATAAGTAACCTATTGTCTTTTTTTTTTTTCTAAAACAATACTAGTTAAATAATGATTTTGTTCTACAAGTTGTTTATTTTCTTGCTCTTTGATTTTTATCTGTTCCTGTAATTCTTTGATCGCAATTTTGTGTTTTTTTTCTATCTTTTTAACATTTTGTTGCAACTTCGTTCTACTAATTTTAAGAATTCTCAATTCATTAATGAAATCTAGAGAATGAAACTTATTCTGTTGAACTGTTTTGTTTTTTTTTCTTCTGAATATTTCAATTTCCACAAATTTAGTGAAAAATACTGTCTTTTAAATTTTTTGTTTGTAAGCTTGTTACAGGTCATTGATTTTTTCAAAAAACGAACTCTCTGCTGCAATTTTCTGTTTTTTTCTTGTAAACTACGTATTTCATCTTTTTTTATTTTGCATGAACCACACTTTACTCTCTGCATTGTGTCTGAAGCAATATTTAAATCACTTGCAACGTTTAAGTGAATAATTGTATTAGAACTATTTCTTTTTCTTTCATATTTAAATGGTTGCTGCAAAAAATTAACAATAGCAGCCCATGACTGGGTAGGGTTTATTTTAAAGATTTTTATCTTTTTATGCAAGTATCTTATATTGTTGGAGAATATTTTAAAATCAGATGCATTTTGAGGTCCAATGTTCAGTTTTTTTAATTTCAGACAAGTTTTTGATAATTTGAAATTATTTTCAGAAAAAATTTTGTAAATGTCACCATTTAACAAAGGCTTCGATTGGCATTTATATGAATTAATTAAAACGCAAATATCTTTTGCAGTCTTGTGGTCCATCTAAAGTAAAGAAAAATACAAAGCAACAATGAAAATAATTTTAAAAAATGGCGCTATAATCAACACATTATTTTGCGGTAGCAACTGTATGCATCTTTTTTAAACATGAAGGAGATTTTAAAGTATCGGTTATTATATATCAAATGAAAGATCTATGAAGAATTTATTTGAGCATGTCAAAATCATTTATGAGCATTTGTATTGGCATATTAAATTCTTTATATGAAAATTACCTATTTTGGCAGGATTCCTTAACAGTGAAAAAATCGCAATTTTTTGAAAATTGTATAACTATAAACAAGTTTAACCTTCACTTTAAACGAAAAAATATAACAAAAATTGACACTTTATTTTTTAGCTAGCTTTTAAACACTCTTTCCTTTATGCATATAGCGTAGTTTGGAAAAACACGGAAATTCAGAAACTTTATAAAAGCGATGTCAAAATAAAAAAACGGACGCATACGAGGGTACCTACATATATATATATATATATATATATATATATATATATATATATATATATATATATATATACAAATATTTTATATATATATATATATATATATATACAAATATTTTATATTACATATATATATGTATATATATATATATATATATATATATATATATATATATATATATATATATATATATATATATATATATATATACATATATATATGTAATATAAAATATTTGTATATATATATATATATATAAAATATTTGTATATATATATATATATATATATATTTATATATGTAATATATATATATATATATATATATATATATATATATATATATATATATATATATATATGTAATATAAAATATTTGTATGTATATATATATATATATATATATATATATATATATATATATATATATATATATATATATATATATATATATATATATATATATGTGTGTATACTGTAAGAAAAGAGCAGTCAGGTTTTTTAAAATTATAAAAATTTTAAGAAACATTCTCCCCGCTATCATTAAAATTTTTTTAAACAGTAGGTTACTCTTATTTCAACAGTATTCTACTCTAAAGTTTGTCTTTTGGATGAAAACTTTCTTTTTAGTAAGTTTACCGATACGTTGTCCGCAAAATTGTGAATAGTTTTTGGGTTCGCGACGCCTTTCGACAAATTTAGGTACGGTAATTTTTTTTGAAAACAAAGCTTTTGCTGCTTAAAAAAAAATATTCCGTAAAAGAATTTCGTGAATCCTCTTAATTTAAAACACATTTAAATACAACCTTTCAACAATTTTTAAATTCATTTAAATATGCATAGGTATGGAAAATAATAAATTAGTCTAAACAGACTCTGAGCAGTCAAATTTCTTTTGAAACTAGTACATATATTATAACATATGATCTAAATTGTAATATTGTATCTATTTTAATAGATAATTTTAATAATATAATATAGATATTACTTAAACTATTAAGAAATCGTTGACTAAAAAATATTTATATTTATGTTAGATTTAATTCTATTTTACGCGTATTTCGACGTATTCGACCTATTTAATTTGGATCCACGTTTTTCACTTGAGGATTAATTAAAGAAAGTTTAAGTAAAATTTTATCTAAATTTTTCCTTAAAGTTTTGTTACGCCTAAAATATAAGAAATTTTAAAAAATTTAAACTTATTATAAACATATTTCACTGTTATATGACCATTTAATGGTTCATTAGTCTCAAAAAAATATTTTTATGAATTAAAAAAAATCTATTTAATTCATAAATTATTTCGATTTACGATTTAATTTTAATTAAATTTTGTTATAAACTTGTCAACGAAACTTTCTACGCAACAAAAACAAAAAAGATTTTTTTTTAATTTTCGGTGCCAAAAATTAAGGAAATACTTTAAAAAAACATTTCATAAAAAATCCATGTATTGAAAGTATTAAAACATGGAACTAAAATAAATAAGCTACAGAGGTGGTTGAAACCACTTTAAAAATGAAATATCCTAAGGAATTCAATACACAAGGCCGGCACGATAGGGGGGTGACCCCTCCACCTCTCCCCAATGAATGATTTTTAGTCGGCAAGTTTGACCCTTAGTCGGCAAATTTGACTAGTTAGTCGGCAAATGTCTACCCTTTCAATAGAGGCTAGTCGGTTATTTTCGTAGTTAGTAGTCGGCAAATGTCGTCATGGTAGTCGGCAAATTTTCGAAAACGAGGACCTATTTTTTTTTTTTAGACGGCAAAAGTTGTAATGGCACCCCCCCCCCCACGTGACACCTACTCGCGCCGGCCCTGCCAATACATTTAAAACAAAAAAAAATTTTAAATCGTCATAAATTTCCTACTATTTGTATTTAAAATTGCCCAAGGATGACGTATTTACAACGTAACCTGGGAGGGAGTTCCATGTGTTGATTACTCGTTAAGTAAAAAGGTTTTGACGAGAAGTAAAACTTTTCATCGCCAATTTATTTGCGCAGTCAACCAAGTTATCAATATCATTTTGAAGTACGGTGTGTGAAGGCATATTAGTAAGAGGGTAAAACATTTTTGGATCGTTGGCAAAAAGTTCTGGATTTGAATTAATTATATCGGGAATATCATTAACGTATATAATAAATAATAGTGCTAAAAGAACAGAACCTTGGGAAACTCCACTTTTTACTGGTATCCAATTGGAGTAATTACTATTTATCGTTATTCTCTGCCTTCGTTTTGTCAGAAGGTTTCTTATCCAACAGAGAATCGTAGCATTTATTTCATAGGCTTTTAGTTTCAAAAGAAGATGCTCATGTGGGACTTTGTAGAATTCAAGTTAAATATTATCGACGGGGAGACCTTTATTTAAGTTAAGTGTCCATGCATTGATTACAATAAGAAGATTTGTTTCACAAGAGCGCCCCGGATAAAACCCGTGTTGACTGTAAAATATAAGTAAAGATGAGTAAAAATGTGTTTTTTATATTATTATTATTTAATATTTTGTGCATCATAATCAAATATTATGACTATGGTGCATATTAAACTAATGGGTCTATAGTTTGTAAGTAGTTTCTTGTCTCTTTCTCTCTCTCTCTCTCTTTCTTTCTCTCTCTCTCTCTTAACACATTTATGTACCACGTTTTTTGATAAAAATTTTTCATTCATTGGACAATTGTTTTTTTGTTTACAATTACAATTTTCTGCTGTTTTTTCATTTAGGACTTCTTTTTTTTTTTTTTAATTTTTTTATTTAGGTGCCCCAAGAAGACTTGACGGTCTTGTCACAGAGCGGAAGTGCATTTAACCAGGAAGTTCACGCCTCCTTCTTTACCGTGACGCGAAATATGTCCAAGGCTCGTTTCGAAACTGGATCTCCTGCTTATAAAGCAAGCTTTAACCACTGCGCCACGGCCGTACAATTTGTTTAACAAATCATTATTGTGACCTTTCATAAGTTGCACCAAAAATATGGAAATAATTATATGTAGCTGATACACCTTTCTAAAAGAGTAAAATATAAAACCACATACAAGAGGAAAATAGAGAATAAACTTTATTTTTTACTTTTTAGTTTATGGTAACTAGAGTCGTTGTTACGGACTCGGTTGCTTCCTAAGAATGTTTTAAGGTCTAAATATAAACCAAAAAATATTTTATATCGTTTCCAATATTTTTTGTATGAAAATTAACATATCAAGGAAAGAAATTCCAACGTAAAAAATAAAATTAATTTTTTTTTTCTTGTGTTATTATTTATATCCATACCACCTTAAGCGAAACCTTGCATAAAGTAGAAACAGAACAGAGTTTTAGGGTTTTCAATAGGTAATTTTAACACTTTTTTGAGTGGAAACTCTCATTTTAATTTCTTGCTAAAATTTTAGTGCGTAGCAACTAATAATACTTATAATAAGGCAAAACAAAAGCCCGCTTTCTTTCCAGGTAAAAAAATCCTTTAAAATTTTTATTTTTTTGAACCACATAAATTTTTTATATATTTAAAATTGCAATTAAAAAATATATATATTCAGTTAAAAAGTATATATATTTTATGCAATTTCTCGTGAAAGATAAATGCTATTTGTCAGCATCTACAAGACAGTAGTCGAATGCATTTAGCGTCTGCCCAAAATGTGTGTTTTTATCGAGACGCTATCTCAACTTTACTCAATCAAGAGCCCAAAGGCAGGGGGTCAATAAGTCGGAGTTACCTTTAACTAACCTTTGCCTAAAAAAAGCGTATCCTAATAAGCGAAATATATATATATATATATATATATATATATATATATATATATATATATATATATATATATATATATATATATATATATATATATATACACACACAAAAAGTTATCAACACTTTTTTGAAATTTAAGAAACAAGCTAAAAAAAAATCTGTTAAAAACAACATTGGCAGTAAAAGAAAAACAGAAGTAATAGGAAAGGAAAAGATTGATTCAGGTAATATTCTGCCAAACTATTTAAATACTGATATTTTATTTATTTAAAACTTTATATTCAGTTGATTGTTTACAATAGTTTTATAATCAACAAAAACTAATTAAAATCAACACACTAAACTGTATAAGACAATACAAACAAACATAAATATCGTGAATAAAAAATAAATAAAGTAAAATAAAATAAAAATTGCTTACATAGTAAATAATTTAAATGTCAATAAATACAACAAGTTGGTTATTTTCAACGTAAAAAATAAAAAAAGTTATTTTTGACAGATTTTACAAAAACAAGATTTTCCGTGCCATTTTAAAATACTTTTTTTGAACATCTTTAGACAATTTATTGACATAGTTTCATTGTCTAGGGAGTTCCATAGCGAGGTTGCTCTATATAAGTTACTTTTTATGAACTTATGTTTAGAGACTATAGGTTGGAGTACTAATTTTTTAGCATCGAAGACTTAGCGGTAAAGATTTTTTGATAAAAAGATTTAACATAAAATCTGGATTTAAACATTTATAGATTTAAAAACTTCAGTTAACAAAAACCTTAAATTTCTAAAGTGGATACTTGGGATATTTTCTATTTTTTGAATTTCTTCTAATGAGAGATGAAATCTTTTATAGACAATGCTAAGTCCTTTTTGATAAATTTTATTAATTATTATATTTCGAACAAAACATCCAAATCAAATGACTATAGGAAAAACTTGACAGTATAAAAGCATTGAATAAAACAGTAGCTTGTTCTACTGATAAGAAGCTCCTTATTTGTGAAAGAGCGAAACATTTACTATTCACTTTTCCACACAGACTTTTAATATGATCAAGAGAAAGTTTAACCTTAGAGGAAACCTTGATTTTTACATCCCCAACCATTAAAAATCGATCTTTACAATTTTTTAAGCCAATTAAAAAAAAATTGAACTTTGTCTGGATTTGGAACCATTTTATTCAAAGTAAACCATGAAATCACGTTTGAAGTTTCTATTTGAAGACGAGCTATAACACTCTGTAGGTTGTTTTCACAAACAGAAAGAGTGTTGTCATCAGCAGTTGTCAGATTTCAGAGTCTTTTATAAATAAGAAAAAATTGTTTATAAAAATATTAAAGAAAATTGGTCCCAAAATTGAGCCTTGAGGTACACCCGATTCCATATCTAAATATTCAGAAAATGACGATCCTAGTCTTACCCTCTGTTTGCGAGCAGAAAGGTAAGATAATAAGAGTTTGAGGCTATCGTAAGAAAACCCATAACCTTCCAACTTAGCTATAAACAAATCATGTGGAATTGAATCATATGCCTTTAATAAATCCATAAGCATAGCGCCAACTATACCTCCTTTATTCAAGCATTCTTGCCACTTATTAACTAAATTAAAAAGTGCGTGCTGTGCACTATACCTTCTCCGAAATCCACGCAGCAATTTGTTAAAGCATGGCTCAATAAAAACCCGTATTTGCTCGTAAATAACAATTTCAAATACTTTTGAGAGAACTGGCAGAATACTTATTGGGCGACTTATTGGGGAATAATTGCATATCCCAAGGCGAATTCCCTTCCTTCTTAACCCTACTGATAAGTTATACTTATCAGTCGGGTCATTTTTTTTTAAACATGGTATGACATCTGAAATTTTTAAGAAGGAAGGGAATTCGCCTTGGGATATGCAATTATTTATACAAGAAATGAGGCTTTTTCTCAAATCCGTTGCATAAGTTTTTAACATAAACGTTGGAATATCTCCACTAGTCTTCTTTTTACTATTTAAAGAACAAATAATTTTTGTTATATCATCAGGAGTAATTTGATAAAATTTAAAATGTTGAGGATATAATTTTGATTTGATTTTAATGTTTATAATACTGGGATGGTTTTCATTTTTTATAATAGCAGATTCAACAGGCACATGTAGATTGCAAGGAGAAGAACGATAACTCATCTCACTGTTTATAGGAGACGATGTAACGTTTGTGAAATATAAGTTGAAAATGTTTGAAATATGAAAGTTATCCAAAATAGTTTTTCCATGTTTAATCAACGTTATGCGATCGCTCGAATTACCAGATTTATGAGAAAGAAAAGGCTTGCATATCTTTTATAAAGATGTAGTGGAAGACTTAAATAAATTTATCTCACTAAAATATACTTTCTTTGCTTTTTTTATTCAAGTTCACTACGTAGTTTCTTTGTTTCCTATAAAGAGACAAAGAAATGTCTGATTTTTCAATCTGGAATTTTTTTTTAATTTTGAGCGAAGCATCAATACTTTTCTAAAATTCTTAGTCATATATGGCTTATCGTTACCTCTTCAGATTTTAGTTTTCAATGGAGCATATTGATTTACATAGTTGCTAAAGATAGCGTTAAACTGATACTGATGAAAAAAACATTATTAGTAATGAACAAAAAGACATTGCTGAAAGCTTTAACAGTTATTTTATAAACATCTAAAAAACACTGTATGAGCTGATAAAATAACTCAAAGTAAAAAAACATTTAAATCATACTTAAAAGAAGTATTTTGTGACGAGTTTGAATTACTTCTGATGAGCTTTGATATGCTTTTAAAATGATGAAATAAAAGTCTTGATAACACGAACTTTTATGTGCTTAAAAAGTTTATGATGATATTGTATATCCTCTACTATGTGTCTTAAATCTAAATATCCCAGCAAACATTGTTTTAGTGGATTTGCAGTAGACCTACCCACGAATTTTTTGGCGGTTTATTGGAGTTGCTCAAAGGTTATTTAGTGGACCATTAGTGACTGTTGCTATAAATGGCAAGCCGATAAATTTCTGACAATTTAATAGTGGCTAGTCATCGGCTAGACATATTGGCGGGTGCCACTAATGGTCTGCCAAGTAACCGATGAGCAAATGGCTTTTTTGTTACAAGACTCCAATCATTGCAATTTTTTGCAAAGCATCCTTATTTAACATAAGTATAAACTTATAAATGTTTGGAATTCGCTCATGTGTGGAAGTAAGTCATCTCAAAGACCAAAAATTGATAGATCCACCCCTGCTCCAGTTATATTTTTACGTTAACAAAATTAGAAAAAGTTTATATTAAAAATGACAAAGAAAGAAAGAACATTTTATTTTAAAAGAAAACTTTATAATTAACTGTATTAAAAGCTTTTAACGAAACTTCCTAACCGAGTAATATAAGTTTTGCGTATTCAATTGAGATTTTTTTTGAATTTATATAAATTGACAATATATATCAATCTATATAAATTCAAAAAAAAAATCAAAAAAAATAGTATACACAAAATTCATAAAAAACTAAAACATGTTCACTTTATATCAAATGCCTATAACTAGCTCGATGTATTAATTCTACTGTACAGATACTTACGTTGATCTAGACTTTTCTATTAATAGATTGAGGTTTATTCTTATTCAAGCATGTGTATACCTTTATTTACAATCGATTTTATCTTCTAGTTATATACTATTGCAATAGTATATTACTATAGATATATATTATTTGTTGTAATAGCATATTACTATATTAATATACTATTACAACAGTATATTACTAGAAGATAAAATAGATTGTAAATAAAGGTATATATATGCTTGAATAAGAATAAACCTTAATCTATTAATAGAAAAGACTAGATCAACGTAAGTATCTGTACAGTAGAATTAATACATCGAGCTAGTTGTCGGGATTTGATATAAAGTGAACATGTTTTAGTTTTTATCAAATTATATTATATCTAATATCATTTTAATACATTTTTTCATTTACCTTTTCCTTAATGTTTAGTAAATGATAAAGTAATCTCTAAGCAAATATGGTAGCG